TATTAAATGTTAATTTTATTATTGAAAAAAAAATTTTTTAACTTTTTCTTCATTAAAAGAAAAAGCCCAACCCAAAAAAAAATTTTTTTTTTTTCATTTTTTTATTTTAAAAAAAAAAGGGGGTTTTGGTACGTATCGTATATTGAATTTTGAAAACCGGAACTCAAGAAAAACTTTTTAAATTTCTTTCAACAGTGGGGAACAACGAAGATTTAAATTGGAAAAGGGAAAAATGATAACCAAATTTAAAAATTACCATTTATGTATACAAATTTTTTTTGTATCTAATGTCCAAATAAATTTCCCAAAGAAAAAAAAATGAAAGAAAAAACTAAAGAAATTGGGTTAAAAATTTTTTTAAGGGGAAAACTATCAAAGAACAAAAAAAAAGGGGATAAAAAAAAAAAACTTTTAAAAATCCAAAATTTTTCGGACTTTAAAAAAAGATAGACTTTACTTTTGTTTTTTTCCTTTTTTTTTCTTTTCTTACAAAAAATTTTTTTAAAGGGCAAAATTTTTTGGCGAGGGGTTTTTCTTTTTTAATTGGGAGTACTTAAAACTGGGTTTTTAAAAAAAGGGGAAATAAATAAGAAAAATGGAAAAATTTAGAAAGAGGCCCAAATTTTTAAACAAAAAAAAATTTTTAAAACCTCATTCATTCCGTACAGTAAATTAATTTTAAAAATTCTACTTTTAAAATTGTTAAACAAACTTCTTTAAAGACTTTTTAATAAGACAAAAAATCTTTTTCCCAAAAATTTTTAATTCATTTTTTGTTTACACCCAAATTTTTTCGCAATTCGTTTTTAGAAATTTAAAAAACATCAATTTTTTAATATTTTTTGGAATGTAAAAAGTGTGAAAACCCTTTTTAAGGTTTAAACTTTGCATTCAATTTTTCCCCTTTACAATTTTTAAAATAATTTTTTCATTTTAAAAAAAGGAATTTTTTTTTAAACATTTGATTAAATTTTAAAATATACGGTTAAAATAATTTTTCTGTTTTTTAAAAAGCAAAAAGTTTGCAAAGGCCCCGGTTTATTTACCTTTAAAATTCATAACCTTTAAACCCCGGCAAAAATTTCAACTAGTAAAATACCCTTTTTCCCTGAAACCCAAAATACACCCCCTTGACCTATAAAACAAAACATTTAAAACATGATTGGATAAAATTTTAAAATTTTGAAAAAAACCGCAAATTTTTTCATTTTGGGGTTATCAAAGGAAAAACCCCTTTAATAAAACCGGAAAAAGTGCTTACACTATGAAAGCTGCTTTTTTCCCCCAAAAATAATAAAAAGTCAATATAACCCCAAAAAATTTCCCAAAAAATAATTTAAAATTAAAAAAAACAAAAACCATTTCCCCATTTGTTGACCCAAAATTTAAATTAATTAACATTCAAAATTTTGGAAAATATAAAGTACAAAAACCCGGGTAATATAATTTCCCAATGTTTCCTTTTTTTTTATTTATTTTCCAATTGTTTTTTTTCCCCATGGCGACTTTACTATTTTACATAAAGTGTTGCTTACACCGTTGAAAAAAATTTCAAATTAATTGTAATTTCACCATACAAATTAAAACCAAAACATGTTACCCCTTTATTAAATTCGATACAGTCTAGAAATAAATAGAGTGTCATTTAATTTTAAAAACTGTTTTTAATTTTAGAATTGCACTTTTTATTTATTTAATTTAAAAATTTTTAAAATAAATAATGCCTTTTTTTTTAAAAGTTTTGTTTTACCGTTTGATATTATTTTTTTCCATATCTTTTCTCACTATTTTTTTCCCCCTTACTTGCCAAAAAATGTTACCGCTTTTAAAAAATATATTTTTTTTTGATTTTTTTACAATTAATCGTTTCCGGGAGTTTAATTTTTCTTTTCCCAAAATTCCGAAGAAAAGCCTATATGGGAAAAAAGTCTTCCAAATTAAACTCATGTTTTATTATTTCATTAACGGTCCCAAAACTAATCTGGCAGTATTAACTTTTTTATCGTCTTGTTCTTTAGATCATCTGAGTACAACGTGCTAAAATGGTGAGCTATTGTGATCCCCCCACAGTCCCGTTGTCCGTCGTCGTGACGTCGTCAAAAATTTCTTTAAAACAACAATACTTACTCAGAAACCAAATGACTGCCATTAGCAACCCAAAACCAAACATAACGGAATATGCCTTGGGGTCGGTCCCCTGCCAAAGTTTGTTCAAAATGTGTTCCGGTCTAATTGCAAATAAGTAAGGTTCAAGGGCGCAGAAAAGGAGTTTTAAAATGCAAAATAAAAAAAGCTTCTTGTCTGAAAGAAGAAGGCCTAGAGCTTTGATATTTTTTGGGTAATATGAATATCATCTAAATAGGTTTCCTCTACCAAAGTTGTTCAAATTTATAGCCCTGGGGTCCAAAATTGGCCCCCCCTGGGGGTCATAGGGTTTTTCCTTTATGTATATAGTTAAAATTAAAAAAAATCTTTACCTCTGAATTGACAAAGGCTAGAGGTTAATATTTGCACGAGCATCGTTGTAGTAGAACCTTTACCAAGATGTTTAAATTTTAAGCCCTAGGGGCCAAAATTGAATTAGGGACCATTGGTAACTTAACTTATGTATATGCAATTGCATTTAGTACTCAGGTGAAGCGCATTGGGGAAGCCAAATGGGCCCCTTGATTATTATTTTTTTTTATTATTATATAACAAGGACTTGATATAAAGCTAACATTTTACAAAACGCCCAAAAACTTTATGACTAGCTGTCTTTTAAAATGATTCCAAGGGTTACCGAGCTTAAAATATAACTGTAATGACAAATTTTAATATGACAACGGTCAATTTCAAGCAATTCAAAATCTTACATAACATAGAAAGTAAAAAACATTATCTGTATATACCATCAAACTATTGTTGTATGGATTTGATGAAAGTATAATATGCAAAATAAACTTTAAGAGTAGTTTGTTCTTGTCGTTTGCTGCCTGTTGCTATCGACTTTTTGCATAAAAGTGATTATTTTATTTCTTAATTTCAATAGTATATGAAAACATTAAATTTAAATGAAAAAGATTTGCTCATTCGTCTACAGTTTTTGTCTGATCAATTGAACAGCATCAAGAAAAATCCGGATCATTAAAGTCAAGCATATGTTAAGTATAAAATCATTGTCTTTGCACAATTTCTTGAAGCAGCATGTGTTAAATGGGCGGCTATGTGGAGACAATAGCTAATCATTTGCAACTACAATACTTGGAAAGTTTTTTTCAAATCACCAAACACACAACGAAAACTTTGTATCTTTGACCTGGAATAATCAAAATTTGATTAATAATGATTTTTTAATATGAAACATATGTGAATTTACTAAAGAGCATTATTTAGAATATATGCACGTGTAGCTTAGTAAAGTTACATGAAATCAAGGATGTTTTAGCTCAAAATTAATATTTTACTTTTTTTACAAATAACAAACATCTTAAAAACGCAAACACGCTTGAATAGATAATTTATAAAATTGAAATAAAAATATTAGTAATTTATTATACCTAAAGTAAAGTAGTCAATGATCATTTTACTGTATATAGTAATATTTGCAATTGAAAAATTAAACCTGTCATTACAATCTTTAAGTAGAATTGATTGCACAAGTTTTGATAGCCTTACTACAGGAAATACACTGCATGTTAGATCATGATGTTATATATCTATAAATAAAGTTGTAAACTATTAAAATCACTTAACTTGACGGTTTTAGAATAAAATTGAACCGTTTAGAAATATCAAAACAATATTCTAGTGCCATAATATTTAGAAATAATGTATTTTGCTTGTATCTCATTGCATTGCATTATAATGTACATAATAAAAAGAAGCTTCAATGAAATGATTTGAGTATTAATTCATACAAACAGCTTTTATTAGGAGATTCTTGGAAAATATTGCAAATAAATGAAAATAAATGTATATTTGATAATGTATATGTATCGAAATAAACATTGTTTTTTATTATAATATTGTCATTGCTACAAGGTGAACAAGGCTGAACGTACAAATATTTTCCGTTCAATTAAAAAAAAACCATAAAAATAACATTACTAGTATTATCTTCCTTGAGTGGTATACCCCTATCTCTCTGACTGTGGATGCACAAATGCCAGAGACACAGTGGCGTTGGAAGGTAAAAACCGTTTCAGCTCAAATACCACATACATTTCACCCACAACCATTATACTCCACTTAAGGGGCACATTCATTTACTTTTATTTAAGTTGAGAATTTATTGACCCATTTAAGCAGATAGATAATAGCTTTATTTTTTGGGGCTGGATGCTAATGTTAGATAACGGACTGCCCTTTGCGATGACAAAATTTTTGTCAATACTAAGAATTTTACCCAAAACCATCGGATTTTTTTTATCTTTTTCCCCTTTTTATCGGTTAAATATTTTTAAAACTTAAAGCTTTAAACCTTAAAAAGTTAAACGTTTTCCGCTTAAAAATAAAAGAAAATTAATTTACTGGAATGCTTATTTCTTTTTCGATTAAAATTTAAAAAAAAACCTATTACACAAATAATAAAAAAAACAACACCAAAGTTCTAACCTAGGTTCAATATATAATATAAAGCTTTATTGACACTTTAACGGGGTTTTTTAAACATTGATCATTTTTTTTAAATTTTTTATTTACTTTCAACATTCAATTATGTTTTTAAAGTTTATAAATTGATAAATAAAAATTGAGAAAAAAAATTTTAAAAGTGTTTAGACAGCAAAAAACCCTTTTCTTATTTTTATGACTATTGCTAGTGCCGGTGAATATTTTTTCTTTTAGATAAAAATGTAAAACTTTCTGTTTTCCCTGCCTTTGCTATGAATTACACTTTAAATTTCAATTTCTTTTTTTTGACATTTCCCTTTGTTTAAGTCATAAAAGCTTCTAAAAAATCGGGAAAATTTTGAGAAAAACAAAATTAACCCCAAACTTCCGTCTCAAAGAACCTCATTTTACTTTTGAATGTATCCCAACGTCAGTAAGAAGAGACTGTAGGCACTCTATCTTCTTTTTGACATATTTTGCATACTTTACATCAGCATTGTAAAAGTGGACAGTATTTCGGCTTCTTCTAGAAACTGAAATGAGTTGTAAATGCTCTGTGTAAAAATGAAACGAACATTTTGTTTGCATTTTTCAGGAAAAAAGTCAAATAATTCAATATAACAATTATTTCGAAAATTTATAAACATATATTAAGTTGTCTGTGTGTTCGATTTCTTTTTAATAATTTATTCACATACGTATAAGTTTCCTTTATAAATTATTTCAAAAGATAAACAAAATTTTACTTTTAAAAGCGGAGTAGGGATATTGTTTATTGTTTTGTAATTATTTCACTTCAAACAATAAAACGACGCCTAAGAAAGCTACACAGTATATGGTTTATTGCATTATTGAAATAAATTTATATAAATGCTAAGCTACTTTGACCAGCACAATCTTAACTTCTATTTATTTAAACCTTCAGAAAAGATTGTGCAAAACACAATATAATGGTTTAAAATATCGTCGTTGACATTTAAAGCACATCACTTAAGTATTTCATGGGAATTAAGCACATTTTTTGTCAGATATGTTTTGATCAGTTCATCCACATAACCGGTCTGGATATATGTCAGTAATTTCCAACTTATCCACATGTGACCGACTACAAATTCCTTTATGATTTCTAAATAAACGATGAGGGACAAATGATTATTAGACTCAATGTCTGAGATCAACTATGACGGAGAAATTTTGTATCGACAGAAGATCGAAACAGCTAAGCCGACGGGTCTCATTAGCGTGAACAATCAACAAGATGATAATAAAAAGCAATTATGAAAGTATTGCAAACAATAAAAAAGTCAAATACCGGTTAGAACCCAAGCAGCATTCTGAAGGGCAATAGCATTCAATATGACCTTGTGGAAAACATAAATTAACTATTTTTTGTGTTCTTTGTCTGTATCATATTACTGTGTAAAGTTTCCCTGCCTAATCAGGAAATCATGTTTATACAACAGATCAAGGATGAATATATTTAACTAAGGTTTCAACTTTTTTTCTATAATAAGTACAAGAATAGTTTCAAGTTCTTAAAAATTTATCTCCTTAAACAGTCTGTAGGGGCGGACGGACATACACAGACTAAAACGTTAAGAATCCCTATTTTTACCAGAATATAACATATTTAAAACGCAAAATAATTAAAGTTAGCTTTATAAAAGTGTAAGATTTAATATGAATATCGTCATACATGATGTAAATGATGACAAAGAACAATTATCTTAAGTCGGAGGTGGAAACTTTCTATACAACCATCTATCCATATTTCAATATTCATAAAAAATGCTTATTTAGTATTTTTTGTGTTATCGCAAAAAATGTTATATTTGCTACATAGGAAGAAGAAGAAAAAAGGTGTTCAGCATCTCAAAACTGCCATCTACCCATATATTAAGTTTTATAAAAAAATATTTTCAGTATATTTTGCGTTATCACGGGATACAGTTTTGTGGACGCAGTATTTCAGTAATACTCACAAACATAAAACATAAAGTGTCAGAATCTTATGTTACATCAGTTCTGTTTCTAACACTAATATAAAATTGACATTACAGTTTGATAAAATGTAATCTGACATTTTTAGAAATAGAGAAAATTAAAACATAGTCTTAAATCTCTTCTGTATGTATATTAGTTTGTTTTAATAAAGTATTTTTTTTTTCCAAACAAGGATTTGTTATAGAAACTGATTAACTTACTGTTCAATTTTCCAAGACGGTTTTCGCCTAACAATTTCTCAAAGGAAGTGCTACATTGAAAATCAACCCTTTCTTCTTTTTTCCACGCAAGGTCAAGTATTTGTTTATTAGCTGCAATAACTTGATGTTCCGACAATCTAAAAGTTACAACTTCATCCTTGACATCATCATATTTGCCCGCAACAATCTTGGAAAAATATTTATCCACATCATCAATTAGTAGATCAATATTCTCCATATCAAGGTTAACATCATTTGTAGTCGCCTTGTATATCTTTTCAACTTCTAGAAGTAAAGGCTTTTCCAATTCTTAAGCTTTTTTAATCAAATCTTCTTTAAAACTCTTTATGTTTTCTATTGTTTTGTCTTTGTCTTCTGCTAATATACTCAAATATTTGATGCGATCGTGCTTTAGCTTTTGAAGATCATCAATTTGTTGTTTCAATTCTGACTCAACACTTTCCTTGTCTTTTCTCTTCAGGAGTGTTTTAGCAACAGTTGGAATGTATTCCACTCCTGTACATGATCTTTAGATAGTAAAGGGAACAATAAATAAATTTAATGTATGTTCAATGTCAGGAGAATGACTGACTTGATGTTATTTAATCTAAGGGAAGATCTAGTAACCAAAAGAACCAATTTCCAAGATATGGGGGCTGAGCAGCACCGCCTGACATAAACTTGAAATATTCTCAGTCGGAGAACTAGCATGCAATTGTTTAGTTTACACTATTTCTTTTTAGGTATTTTTATCTTTTTCTATCTCAAATCAATATATACATTTAAACAACAAACTCTGAATATCATTTACACCCAAAATAAAGAACTCTGATCATTATTTACACAAAAAACAAACATACATCATTTATCAACCACTTATACGAAATATCTTTTCACGTATAAGTCTTTTATACGAAACAATACTAGACACCGGCGGGTCCAAGCTCCAAATAACTGATGATCAAACAAAACAATAAAATCACCACAAAATGAAGAACACAAAAATGAATATTTTTACAACTCTTAAATACAGTAGAAACCACATACATTCAACCAAAAATATTAACTTCACAAAAACTAATCAGCATCAGAAAACAACTTAAATTGAAGCACCCAATGTTAACATAAATTATATCCTCAAAACAAAGCATCAACTAATATAATCTTAGCCAGACAAAATTACTCCAAACATTCAACCAATTTCAACCAAGTATTTCTTACCAAACAGATATAACTCAACAACCAAAACAATTAATTACAACCAATAAACCCTGATGAATTAAGATCACCACAATTAAAGTCCACCAACTGCAACAAATCAACAAAACTCCCTCAAAACAACAAATTCTCTTTTCAACAAAAAAATAAATAAACGCTACGTCTCTCCTAAACTGGTGTAAAATCTGTCCCAAAACTCGCATATTTCTATTTGACATTTACATGTAGAAAATTAAACCACAGCAACAAGTTTATAAATACACTGTTCATTGAAAGATGATACAGTTCTGTGTATCGCTGTAGGAAGACATTAATTCGTGAAAAAAATATATCTATCTACAGTAAAACTGTACGATTATTCCGACATTCAATATCTGGACCATGTCATATAAACGAAAAATTTAAATATCGCAAAGGCGAAAAAGTAAAAAATGCTTCAGAATGAAGTCGTGTCTTCAAAAAAGTTAAGTTTCAAAGGTGTTTTAATTATTTTTTTTTTAAGTTTGACCATGCATGACAATTGATAATAATATAGAAATAACCTGTGTTGCAGTATACAAACAGGACAGTAGATTTCATCGTGTGTCTTGCAGTACATTTCAATCAACTTGTCCGGATGTTTCTTGCACCTATAACCTTTTAATTGAAGTACACTTCCTCCAATATTCTTCGCGCGGACATCAACTACATTATGACCTTTGACAAACTGGTTATGTCCATCGCGACATTTTGCACAAAGAAAGTTTTTACACTCGACACATCTGTATATTGCTTCTGAATTTTTGTTGTTTTCTGAGCAAAGAGAGCAAGAAAAATCATATATAATATCCGAGGCTTGTATAACACTCCTACCGCCGGTCGCCATTTTGATATACACTGGTATAAGGTAAATATAGACAAGTGACAATATAAACAAGTATGACAATTTAAGAGGCATGTCGGTTAAGTTTATATCTAGCACGGAAGTTATTGCTTTGTGTGCTATCTTACATCACAATAGAGTATTTTGAATAGGGGTATTGTGTATACGAATGTAATGTAAGAAATTCAGTTTCTGTTAGTCATCAACAGGTATTTTTATTTTGTCATTCAATGTATAGCATACACGTACATGTACATTATAGTATAATGTGGTGACGCGATAGCTCAGTTGGTTAGACCACTGACTGTCACTCCTGAGGTCCTGGGTTAGATCCTGGGTAAGGGGCGTCCGTGGCCGAGTGGTTAAGGTCGTTGTCTTTAAACCACTTGCCCTTCACCGCTGTGGGTTCGAATCCCGACATGGACTTAGGATTCTTTCATGTGTGGAAGCTATCCAGCTAGCTTACGGAACGTCGGTGGTTCTACTCAGGTGCCCGTTTGTGTCTGAAATAATGCATGGAATGGCACCTGAGGTCTTCTTCCACCAGTAAAGCTGGAACGTCGCGATATGACCTATAATGTGTCGATGTGACGTAAAACCCAATCAAACAAACAAAGAGATCCTGGGTAACATCCTTGGGATAGTGTTGGTTAGAAATCCAGGTAATTCTCGCATATATCAGTGCTATAAACTGGGAATATAAAAGAACCAATGGGTATATTCAATAAGAGTAAGGGACTGGTTCCCCGATTCCCTTGTATCTCATAGCTGTCACTTAAATCAATCTATACAATATATTCCTGCTAAGTGTAATCGTTAACGATTTTGAAGCAGTATTATGTAGATGTATTTTCATTGAAATATAGAATGTAAAAATTGCTAATACATGTAATACGCATCGGATTTCATGATGTTAGAAGTTCAATATACAGAAACTAACAAGTTCAGAAAAAAATGCCACTATTTGCTGAAAATAGTGAATATCTCATAGATATCCATTCATTTAAGAAAGAAAGTATACAATGTATATTGTAATAACTGTAATTTATGGAAATATGTTTACATATATACATAATATATTTTCTGATTAAATGTTGTGCATGTGTTTCTGTTTCTTGTATAAAATACTTGACTTGAAGAATGATAATGAATAACAAAAATGGCTTAATATGATTTCACTTATAATTCAATATATCTATTACATTATATAATTATCGAACTCAAAAATAAAATAGGGTATTTTGAAAAGGATATTGTGTATACGACTTTTTTTGACATTTACGGGTTCATGCACATTCCTTTTTCTGAAGTAAGGTCTTTATGTACATAATAGAATAAGGGGTCGAAATGTTTAGTCAATTTAATGGATCAAAGTGTCTAAGGTGTCTAAGTGTCATTGGTTGAGATGTCTAAGGGGTCGAGGGGTCTAGGGGTCTCGATGTCATAGAGTCCTTTAAATGAGTCAAATAGTAAACAAGACAAGCCAATACAAATTGACCGATACCTTCCCCAGAAGGACTATGGTACAAATTTATTGAGAAGCATATAATTTTAAGGTAAGCTTACAGACGGTTTACTTGAAAAAAAGTTTTTTTCTTTTATTAAGATATTTAAAACAGTAAATAATATGGACAGAATATTTCAACAAAATTCGAGTAAATGAAGAATGACTTCTCTAAGCAACCCTCAGCCCTCTGAGGTGAAAGTGATAACTTATAAGTTTTTGTTTTGCCTTGCCCTTATATATTTCTCCTATTAAATCTCCTAATCAGGGTCAGCTTTGCCTTAATTAAGGTCTCTACAAGTTACTTTGTCCCACAGTACTCACAATCCGATAGTGTAAACTGACTCCAATAAATGTGCCGCTGCTTTGCGATATGTAAACTGGAAGATGCAAATACGACTTATTATTCCGAATAGGATCAACTTAATTCTGGAAACAAAGTGATCCCTCGGAAGCATCAATCACAACAAAATAACATAAGAATTGCAGACTCGGTTTGATTGAAAAAAAATAATCTGGAAACAAAGTGATCCCTCGGAAGCATTAATCACAACAAAATTACATAAGAATTGCAGACTCGGTTTGATTGAGTCTATACATGAGGGATAATGAATAAGTGCAACATCCCTCACGCCCCCTAGCACCGAGTCTGTACATGAGGGATAATGAATAAGTGCAACATCCCTCACGCCCCCTAGCACCGGCTTGAGCGGTACTCAATTCTCAACACTTTATAGTGTTGGCATCAATGATCCCGAAGGACCAGAAAATATAACAACACTGAAGTGAAGTACGGGGCAACTTTTTACGGCTGCCACACGGCACTTGACACCTGCTGTTGTGAAGTACAAAATTCTGGAAACAAAGTGCTCCGTCGGAAGCATTAATCACAACAAAATAACATAAGAATTGCAGACTCGGTTTGATTGAGTCTGTACATGAGGGATAATGAATAAGTGCAACATCCCTCACGCCCCCTAGCTCCGGCTTGAGCGGTACTCAATTCTCAACACTTTATAGTGTTGGCATCAATGATCCCGAAGGACCAGAAAATATAACAACACTGAAGTGAAGTACGGGGCAACTTTTTACGGCTGCCACACGGCACTTGACACCTGCTGTTGTGAAGTACAAAATTCTGGAAACAAAGTGATCCCTCGGAAGCATTAATCACAACAAAATAACATAAGAATTGCAGACTCGGTTTGATTGAGTCTGTACATGAGGGATAATGAATAAGTGCAACAACTAAGTCGATTTTTATTCTCCTAAATATATAATTATCACTTTACTTAGACTTTTATTAGGATCTATAATTCACGAAAATAGTGTTCAAATAATCAATTTACACTAATATAAATGAATGTTTAACTGACTACATAATATAAATGAAAACATTTAAAATGAAATATGATATTAATTCGAACGAATACTTTTTTAAATATATAATAATTGTAATTGTTACATTACAGATAATAACTAACAAAAGAGTTGAAGAGACAGCATCTGATATTGTTAAAATTTGTTTAATAGTTGGCCGTGATGATACGTGTCGTGTAAATTTCGGACCTAGTTCACTTTTGACAGTCTTCTGTTTAAGAAATGGAATCTTAATATACATATTTTATCAGTTTTCTGTGACATAAAAATGAGAAGTCGTTCCCGTTTGGATGGTGAAACGGATCAGTTGTGTTAATGTCACCAATGCTAGAAATATTTTTTAAAGCGTTGCTCATACAGCATTTGTTTATTGTTAGATGTATTTCATGTTTGGTAGGAAGATAATGTGCATGGTACTCTTCCTTTGCCTAGGTAAGGGGTCAGTGAGTCAAGGTCACCAGCGCTATGAATAGATTTTTCTTCTTTTAGATGTCTTCCATATTTAGAAGGAAGATATATTGCATAGCTTTCTACTTTTGGAATGAGTAATGGCTAATATTGGTAAATGTTAAAGTCACTTATGTCAAAAAAAGTTTATAAGTTTACAGGTGTAACACTATTCTATTGACATGTCCCTTATATTTTGTAGGATAACAAAATAGAAGTGTTGTACCTTTAGCTGAACTTAGGCATCATTTGGGTCATGGTCACCACTGCCAAAAATGGATACACTTTTGTCCATACAACCTTTATTTAATAAAAGGTGTCTTTCATATTTGGTAGAAAGATAACTTGCACCGTATAATTCTTTTAGATTGAGTTAGGGGTCGGTGGGTCAATATCAAGGGTGCAAATGATAGACCTCTACACACTTGTTTATACATCCCTTTTTACTGATATGTTTAATACTTGATAGGATAATTACTTGCATGTTCTTCTCCTCCTGATAGAGTCATGGGAAGATAAGGAAGATTTCTTGCACAGTTTTCTTCCTTTGGATTTAGTTATGGTTCAGTAGATCAAGGTCAATAGTGCCACCAGAAAAGGATTTCAACACGTTTGCTTTTATCTATAGATTTATCGTTTTCAAATTTGAAATGAACATACATTTGATTATCTAGTGTTAGGAGTGAAAAGTTATGGTCACTTGTTCTAACAATATATATTTTACACTTTTTCTTATAAAGACTAGACGGTAGTTTGCAGTTGACAGTACCGTCCATGAACAGGCTCAATCAAACCGAGCCTGCAACATTTTCAATTTTGCCGTGTTGGGCTTTCTTTAGGGATTCTTATTTTCTCTATTTTGTATTTTTAGCAATGTCTCATAATTATGTCAATTTATAGAACTGTGTTTTAAATTTGTTTTGGCAAAGTTCTGTTCATAGCTGAACATATTGGTAAACATTTTTTGAAACCATTGATTTTAGTGGAAAGGTGTATTTAGAGACAGATACCTATGGCAACAATATCCTGATTACCTAGAGAGACACACAAACTAGGACATATGACCACCGATACAGACCTGTCAACACTAGAATTCTTCTATCATTGCATTTATCGATAAAACACCAAAAACAACAACTCATTCATCATCCTATTGTAGTGTATAACCACTCAATCAAATGAAGGCTGACATTTCGTATATGAACTAAGCCTTAGGTCTTATTCTATTGGTGATAACATATACAAAATATATGAGAAGGCTTGTCTAGGTTAACACACAAAACACAGGAACCTTTGTTAAACTTTTAAATAGCAACGACATAGATTGGCTTACTCGTGAAAATACTATTTAAACTGATAGCTTTTCTTATGATTCCGTCAGATAAAAGAAAGGGAATGTTTAAAACTGTAGTTTGTGGTGATCCAAAGTCTTTGGATTGTTTCATGTTAGGAAATTGTCCTCTAGCTTTACATCATTTATTTAGATGTTAAATCAGTATGGTAAAATAAATATTTCAAAACCAGACCTAACGCAACAATTTTCTAAATTACTTTTTTTAGATATGGATCCATGAAATTGAAAAAATTGAAAACTATTTAATAACTCCCTTATTCGTTCGACAAAGGCAAACTATCTTCCGTGACGAATATAAACTTTTGTATAGTATTGGAAAGGCATGGTTTTTACATTTCGTATCAAGCATCATTTTTCTAGTGTAAAAAAATATTCTTATTGTCATGGC